TGTTTAGAATCGTTTATAGACAGCATTATAGCAAAGACATGCTCCTACAGTTGGCATTTTTCTCTCAAAATTGTTCTTGACATTTATCCATGTTGATACATATATCTCTAATTTATATTTTATCATCACTAAATTTTTTATTTTTATTTTTAAAAATTGTGATATAACTTTATGTTGTACAGCTGAAATTAATATAATGTATGTCAATTATACTGCAATAAAATTTTTTTAAATACAAAAAAATTGAGATATAACTGACATATAACATTGTATTAGTTTCAGGTGGACAACCTAATGATTTGATATATGAACATATTGTGAAATGATCACCACAATTAGTCCAGTTAACATTCATCACCACACAGAATTACAATTTGTTTTTCTTGTGATGAAAACTTTTAATATCTACTCTTTTAGCAACTTTCTTTTTTTTTTAACATTTTTTTGATTGAGAAATAGTCATTTTACAATGTTGTGTCAAATTCCAGTGTAGAGCACAATTTTCCAGTTATACATGAACATACATATATTCATTGTCACATTTTTTTCCACTGTGAGCTACCACAAGATCTTGTATATATTTCCCTGTGCTATACAGTATAATCTTGTTTATCTATTCTACATTTTGAAATCCCAGTCTGTCCCTTCCCACCCTCTGCCCCCTTGGCAACTACAAGTTTGTATTCTATGTCTGTGAGTCTGTTTCTGTTTTGTGTTTACATTTGTTTGTTTGTTTTTTTTTAGATTCTGCATATGAGTGATCTCATATGGTATTTTTCTTTCTGGCTTACTTCACTTAGAATGACATTCTCCAGTTACATCCATGTTGCTGCAAAAGGCGTTATGTTGTCGATTTTTATGGCTGAATAGTATTCCATTGTATAAATATACCACAGCTGCTTTATCCAGTCATCCGTTGATGAATATTTAGGCTGTTTCCATGTCTTGGCTACTGTAAATAATGCTATGAATATTAGGGTGCAGGTGTCATTTTGAAGTAGGGTTGCTTCTGGATATATGCCCAGGAGCGGGATTCCTGGGTCATATGGTAAGTCTATTCCTAGTCTTTTGAGGAATCTCCACACTGTTTTCCACAGTGGCTGCACCAAACTGCATTCCCACCAGCAGTGAAGGAGGGTTCCTTTTTCTCCACAGCCTCTCCAGCAGTTAACACAAGACTGTTTTAAGTATTCTGCCAATCACAGGAATCATG